AGCAGCTCTGTGAACATGCTCACAAAGACAACGCTAACATTCTGACACTAAGCAGGTATAATGCTTACAGGATCCCAATTTGAGTATTAAAGGTCCAATGTGTTTAAGAGGATCTATTGGCAGAAATGGAATATAATAGTCATAGGTATGTTTTCATTATTGTATAATCACCTGAATACAGGAATTACAGGTTAAGTGATCCAGGCAGTTAGTTGGAGGTGGAGGGTAAGCCAACTAGTCCGATGACTTTATATTTTAGACAAGCTCCCAGCAGTTTCTGATCCATTTGGCAACATGCAACATTAATACGCCAAGACCTTGTAAATATGATCAGGCAGCTTATCATGTATGACAACACACTGTAATGTAAAACCAGGATCATCTGCAAATGTTTTTGGGATTGTGAATAATGCTGGAAATTCCAATATTGCTCACTAAGATAAAACAACAAACAACTGTCTTTTAGCTTTTATGTGCTGTCCTTTGCACTTCTTTAGGTTACAGTTTTCACTACACTCTGCAGTATGCCACTGGTTAAAAGAGCAGTATCACCGTAAAGGTTCAGAGTTCAATACCTGCTCATAAAACTTTCCTCTGTTGCTCGGTCAGTGGGTGCTATAGAGCACATTATCCATGAACAGTTAGGTTAGCACCAAATACAAACAATATAAAGAAAATGCATTAGTGACCACAGCTGGTCCTGTGACTCAAAACAGCCCCATCAGAAGGACAGAAACTGTAATAAGTTTGGGTCTGAATTAATAGTTACTGTAGAACCACATTTTATTTTGAAATATTTTCATTACAAACCACAGTGACATTCTGTCATTCATTGCAACATTGAAATGACTACATCCAACCTTTTCCAATGGGGTCATCCACTCTGTTTATGCTGTGGCAGAATTTCTTTAATACAATGTTACTATGCATCTTGCTGTGACATGAACTCTGCACTACAAGCACCATATTTCATATCTGACCTGAAAGTAATGCTCGTTGTTTCCTACAGGAGGATCTTAAGTTTAGTTGCCTCTCTGCACCAAGCGGCAACCACTTTGGGTGAAAAATGACACGGAAGTGCCTCAAATGGCCACTTGAGGCTGAATACAAAAGCGACTCAATTTGCATTAACCTCTATGTTAAAATGTCCTAACCTTTACAGCAGAAATAGAGTTTTACAGCCTTGTACAAAAAACGGATTTGGTCTCTTAAGCGAAGTTCCCCGTTCATGAGAACTGTACGTGGAGTGAATATTTATATAACTCAATCATTTAAATGATATTAAGGCTTAAAGTCATGCATAAGTAAGGGTGGGGCCACTTTGAGTTGCATTTACAGACGTTGTGACACATTAACACATTATTATTGTCTGTTCTATCCAATTCATACATCCTGCTCGGTACTGCACTTGTGCATGAAAGATGGCTTTTAAATTTTTTTTTTCATCTTTTGAATGCAGTCTGGTATATGATATTGGTATTCAGTAAGTATGGTGACTTATATGTACATGACATCTATAAGCCTATATGTATGAGACATACATTGACCAGACACTATAGCATCAAGCACAGCTTTCAGATAACAGCTAATCTTCTCTGCCCTGAAAGCATCACAGCGATGCGTGCTAACACTGCTAACATTGTCAGATGGGATGATGAGCGGTTGCTTGTTATCCACATTTCAGCTGTTTTCTCCTTAATCCACAAATGGTTGATCACTGAACTGGTTGTTCTATGTCACACAAGTTTACTGTTACATAACTTGCACCGAAGGTCCTTTTTATCTACCTTTTGAAAATACTTCCAAACATCACCTTTATGCCTGGTTGCAGTTCTGCCTGTAAGGTTAGATGATTGATGTGTGACTGTGATTGTTTATGTGCAGATCTAAATGTAAGTAGGTTATATGATATGTTAGTTCAAATACTGACATCCAAAAAAATCCCTAACTATAAAGCAAATGTTAGCATGCCCTGCTAACTAGCTTTCTAGCTTCAGTAGAAACCTAACGTTACTTCCAAGGCCAAGGAGTGCATCACCAGTGTTGAGCTAAAAGACATTTCCTAGCGATGCTGTGGAGTTAATTTGAAATTCAATAATGACATTTACTAGTCCCTAACACTCTTTCCCTACAGTAATTCTTTGATTTTGCGGACTACCTATAGGAACAGCTGTTGTAGTGCATTTAACTGAAACCACAGTTATTACTCAAACCCACAGGGATTTACCCATTTTGACCACATAGTCAACCAGTTTTGTCACCTCAATAAGGAAATCTGCAAGGAGTGTTAACACCTTAAACACACATCCCTGCAGTTCTGGGTATTTACTGTTCACGGCTCCACCTACAAGCTTTTAATGACGTTCTACACTGATGTTGTTTTAAAGGTTTCTTCTCTGTTTTTCAATTAACATCAGTTTAAATCTATTTTATGTTTTAAAGACTTTCCTTCAGAAGTCGGGACTTTTAGAGAGCCTTGGAGAGGTTAACATTAAGCCGGCTGGTGATAGTAAGTAAATCCCTCCAAACTGTAAGGCTGCTTGCTAAAACTCAATGTCTAACACACGTGTCCTCAGCTGAAACCAACTCCTGGAACAAACATTAATGTAATAAACACTGATTTCTAATTTATTACTTTAGTTGACATTACAGATGCCAAAATCTTCCAGCAACAGTCATCTTGGTCATTTGTTTAAAAACAAAATGTGTGTGTAAAGAATCAGAATCAGAAATACTTTATTTAAAAAAAGCACAATGTAAAGACTTAAACTAATGTTACTCAAATGTTTACTTCCATCATATTTGCATATGTAATGCGTGAGTGCTCCAGTGCATAACACTCTGTGTATATTTGGGTGCAGAAATCTGTGTACACACAAAACAGGAAACATTTGCAGTCTTTTAGTCAGATTTATAAAACCTCATGTACGTCTGTTCCCACATGTTTTCCCCTCATACATCTCCACCATCCTCAAAACTCTGCGCAGAGGATGTGAACTAGAGGTAATGGTGGATCAAACTGACAAAAGAAGAAGAAAGTGATGTTATTTGGATCCCTAAACTCTGGCATGAAAGTAATCACTGTGCAGTTTTCAAACAGTCTCTAAATACTCATTATTGCCTAAATTGCGCAATAGCAATATCTTCCAGCAGCACCAAAGCAGGCATTGTATCATTTGGCACACCCATTACGCACGGCTACAGCCTTAGGCTAGTGCCGCTATAACGACCTGTTGATTGGTCACTCACACCTGAAGGTCAAGGTGTTCTTATTCCTCAATAATACGGGATCATAATCGTCTTATTTTTTAAAAAAATATTATGTATTTATTGGATTATTTATATCAAGATTATTATCATAATAATGATTATAATGCAGTGACAAACCAGTGACAAATTAAGGCTTTTCAGAAAGGTTATTAAACACACACGCATCCCTATGTTAGTGAAGTTTTTTTAAACTATTGATTGCATCCTTACACAGTGCATCTATATATACATCTGGCCCCAGGGCTAGAGTCAAGAACGAGTCCAAACTGATGCGAGTTCAGATGTCAATACCTGTTCCAGATGGTTTTTGAATTAAACCAATACCCGTTTTCTGAACAATCGTGCCTCCTCAGTGCTTTTGTTTTGAAGACGGAAGTTACGTCAGAATATATATATATCTGGCCTTAGTGGAGACAAACTAGAATAAAATATATAAGTCTGAGACAAATCAGAGACAATAAAGAAATGTCTGGAGTCCGGAGTACAGCACTTTCATGTTCCCACGTGTATCTTACAATCGAGGGATTCCACCCTGCTGACCTTTGAGCTCATTATAATAATTAACCTGAGTGAGAGTTTATGATGTTGGGTAATCATGGCAGAAAGTATTGGTTGGTTTAAACCTTTTTATATAATAAAGGTGGAGCATGTGCAGTGTTTTAGTTCCCTACTTTAACAGAGTGAACAACGGGACAGTAGCAGAAACACATTACACTACAATACAATGCAGAAGGCTGGTTTCCCCTGTGATTCCTGTTTATTTTTAAGGATGTGGTCCAACCAAGAGAAAAAGCTCTCTTTAGAAATGAGACATCTCCTGCTTGCATCTGTAACCAAAACCCACAATTGTGTTTCCCCTGCATTTATCAGGAAAACAGCACATTCTGTGTGTATGATGTATGGCACATGGCACAGTTCTATACAAACACTCAAATGACCTTCTGATTTCAGCTCTGATTGACTTAATGATTAATACAAACAACATTAAAGTTGGTTAATGACTTACAAACGTTCTGCAAACATTTAATGGAATATTAACCATTTTTATATTGCAGTACTGTGTCTGCCCACACCTGTACATACCTGTGGGTGTTAAAGATAGATGTTTCATAACTCGTGTAAAATTCCCACGTTTCTGCTTTAAAGATAAATTCCCGGGTTCATTTTACTGTTCAAGTTTAAACTTGCTCCAACGTTCCATCCTTGTTTCCGATACCAAAGTAGCAGACCAACTGTATCAGACTTTCCAGTTTCCACACACCTTGGAAATCCAGGAAAGATATCAATAGAAATCTGTTGTTCTATTATTAGAAATGACAAAAGCTACACATTTAGATCTTCAAACAGAGATTATATCCTCATTTCTATTTATAAAAAAATACACCTGGAAGTGAGTCTGAAACTGCAGCCTTAAGCTGTTAAGCCCTCCAGCGGTGCTCATGTACAAACTGACTGATCCTTCAGTGCAGCAGTGTCACTTCAGGTCATTGTGTGACGTGAGAGGGCTCCTTCTTCAGTTCACTTTCACTTTTGGTTAAACAATGTTTAACATGCCAGGTAATGGTGACGAAACTGCTGACTCTCACAACAACCAGACAGACAGATAGACAGACAGATAGATAGATAGATAGAGAGAGAGAGAGAGAGAGAGAGAGAGAGAGAGAGAGAGAGAGAGAGAGAGGGAGAGAGAGAGAGAGAGCGGCAGAGCGGTGAAAACAAAGAATAGGAGCTTATTGCCAAATGGAAACTCTTTTTTATTAAAGTTTCATTCCAACAGGTGATCCGTGCCAAAGCTTACACGAGGTATAGCCACACAGTATATTCCCAGGATGAATTATACAGTGCCATATCACATCTTTATTTTACATTCATATGACACAGCTCTTTTATGAGAAAATTTCTGCTCATTTTGCAACATTTAAAATCATCAAAAACCCCTCTTTTTGAACACACAATCTCGCAATATGTATTAAATATTTCATTGATGATATAGAAGAAATCAAAACCATCAAACCAACCAATTTAAACAATAATCAACACTGAATATGACATTGTTTAAAGCTTGCACCAGATGGTATATATCATGGTGTGACAAGAACATAGTAAAATGTGCCTCACAGCATACTTAAAAATCATCATTCATCATTATTACAAAATGGCTTTTCATTGAAAATATTATAGCTTCACTAATACAGTACATACAAAGAACCTCACAGGGGGAATGATCAACACTTGGTTCTTGCTTTTTAACTATAGGCATAATTAAAAACACAAAAAGGAGAAATATTACAACATTAGGAAGAGATACAATCAAAGTAAAAACCCCACTTCATTAACCTCCTTTCTGGTCTTTTTAACCTGAGCTGTCTGTGTGCCAATGTGATTGCAGCATCAAGCCTGTCACTCTTGAGGGAACACCAGCTCTAGTCGACCAAGATAAAACAGATGACATCTATGAACATGTTGCTCACAGAAAGAAAAGCCCGAGGCAATTGAGGGTAACCATGTCAGTGAGACTGTCACTGTTGTGAAAAACTCCCCCAGGCTGGTAATCCAAGCTAGTTAAACACTTTTTGGTAGCGACACAGCACACAGAAAGTTTATGAGACTCAGATTGGAGCTTCACAGGAGAATAAATGCACCAATAACAAATACATTCATTAGGTACTACATAACCTGGTACTGTTAGAGTGAAATAAAGTACTGGACATTATGACATATTAGCTATATATATATATTAAAACTAGAAGGCATCTGTGGAGTGCAGAACTCTCAAAAACCCTGTGTAGCCACTTTAGGGTCCCAATATCACTGCAATAAAAGTTTATCTTTTTGTATGGAAGTGCTTATAAAACGGTAAATGTGGTTCAGTTTCACTCAGACTAATTCTGGCTTTTAAAGTTCCAAGAAATAACTAGACACACAATAGACTTCTGCAATCAGACGGATTTTTACAACTGATAATGAATAATCACCTGAGGAGGATTGTGAATCGCCACCATTAAAATCATAAGATCTGCTCTTGCCCAGGAACATGCACAAGTTGTTGAGATTTCTTGCTGACAGTCAAACTACCAGAAGCATGGCTCCTGCCTTGGTCGAGGTAATAAACAAAGTAGAAAAAGAGTCTGTCAACACAAGTCATGCCATCATGACGTGAGTCCTGCTTAGTGTGTCTGTTCTCACAGCGGCAGATGAGCACAAGCGCTGAGCTCCCTTCCTCATCCCAGTCAGCTCTGGTCTTTTTCTTCAGAAAGCATTTACTGGCCCTCATCAGTATCTGCACTGACTCCCCAGCAGATAGCTCAGGCCCACAGTCACATTCTTAACCTTGAAATCGTCTGTGCAGTTCAAGTGCAGACTGGCTCTCTCATTCGCCCTGAGGTAGGCTATACTGTGGAGCCCCCTGCAGACTTCATGTGAAGCAGTCAAGTTGACAGAGCTGACAGAAGTGTTACTCCCCTCCACACGCAGCTCCAGTGTCCCATGGGCTTCCTTGGGTTGGTTCATGCCCTTATAACACACCTCCATATACAGAATGTAGGGTCCAGTGCAGTTGATGCCGATTGTGTCGTTCTTCTTAGCAACCAGACCCATCTTATTGCTGCTCTCAATCTCATGAAACATCAGTTTCTTGTTGCCTGGGACGTCTGGAGGATGAAACAAGTGTGAAACAGAGATGGTGAGATTAAAAAAACTGCTGTTTCGCTTGTTGTGAAACTTGAGAGTGTTGAACAAAAAGATATAGATCTGATCTGAAAGTAGAGGTTGTGTTTTGGTTACTCACCTGCAATAGGCACAAACTGTATGTGTATATTATCTTCAGAATCCTGTTAAGAAAAGACACAAATGAACATTAGAAATTGGCAGCTTTGTTTATTGACCCTGCAGCTTTCCTGATATTAGCTGGGTTTTTACTGCCATTATGACTCTAACATTATAAATGTCGCTCAGTGTTTTTTTTTGAAAGGTCACACTGCTCTGCTCTGTGATCCCTTGATGTTCGACTCTGGGAAGCACAGAGCTTGTTTGTTTGATACAGTGGTTAAGTGACATGGTGTGAAAATAGGCAGGCTGACAGAAACTAGGGAAAGTCTCACTTTCATGTTTGATTAATAGCTGTAGTGAGAGTAGCATTGCAGTGATAAACACCAGAGCTTAAATGTAGAACAAATGTTAGTCATTATAAAATGATCATCATACAGGAACTGTGCATATGTGTCTATGCAGATAATCAGTCATCCAGGTCATTGGATATCTGGAGAAAGTCCAGAGTGACTTTTAAATAGTGTTGTTTCTGTCGCTCTGCTCTATCGCACTCAAGCAAATGTTTAATGAATTTAAAAATGACTCTGTATTTAATATTAAGACTGAAATCCACAAGTAAAAGCAGCTTTTTTGAGGACAGTTAGTCCCATGTGGTAAAGGTCGGATGTGGCATCCTGTCAGTAACTGTCTGGATATGAACTCACTGTACCAACCAGACCCTCAATTTACTGATGCTCTCTGCTCTGAGGACCAGACTTCCTGCACGAGAAAACTCTCACTCAGGTAAAATAAGTTCAATGCAAACTTAAAATGTGAACGACAACTAAACGTTACTCTATAAGCTTTGTAATACCAAAATGAATTCATTTGAATTCCTGCTCGAAAATCTACCTCAGTGAAAGTGGAACAGCTGCTCGCACTGAGGGACAGTTTGAAGAACATCCCTTTTATTGTAACTTTCTAGCAAAGTTCATGTATGAGCCAGACATTTCCTCACACATGGGATACATTAAAAGCTGCATTCAGGGGGGGAAGTTTCCATACTAAAGTTAGTCTGAGTGTGTGTCTGATATTTAGTATCCACTGAGATGAGTAGGACATCCACTAAAGCAGTGTTTATAAGACACTCAATAAGATAAGTTAGGTTTAATAGTAGTTTAAATTAGTTTGTGCACCAGCAGATGAAGTGGTCTGGATGTTTTTGCAGTTTAAGTCAAATCAGATAAAGGCACAGTTTATTTCATTACTTATACCTGTACTCTTGTGGTTTTTTTTTTTATTGTTTTCAGAAAGGCTCAACAAAGACATCAACTTAAGCAGCCCGCCTGCGCCTAGTTACGGTTGCTAAGCTCTTATTGGATAATCGCTGAAGGAGGGATTCAGGGACAGTCAGTTAGTCCATTTTGTTCAAATTCTGTATGCTTGAAATAAATCAACCCTGCCACAGCAGCAGAGATGTGTTTGAGTGTAGTTTGTGAAGCTTTATCAGTGTCACGGAGCACTTTTTAAATTCTCAGCATGTATGAAAGCAAATGTTCACAAACAAATGTTGATTACATTTGCTCAAGTACTGTAGGCTACTTAAATACACATTCTCTACTTGTGCTTTATTTGTGAGTATTTTCCTTTCATGATACGTTTATACTTACATCTTAATGAGCAACTATTCTCTTAATTCTTATAAAATAAAGTCCGTTTTCATGCAATGTCACGGCTCCAGGGTTTTCCCTTTTAATTATTTTCACAATTTAAAATGTATTTTTTAATAACCCAGTACTTCTAATGAAATAAAAGTGTCTGCCCATCACTGCCCATCAGCTCCTATCTACACACACTCCTTACACAGCTTACTCACATGATCGCCCCGGTTGACTCCCTGGGAAACGTCCCGGTTGACTCCCTGGGAAACGTCCCGGTAAACGTAAAGCGTGACCAGCAGGCACGCAGCCACCAGCAGGTTCTGCAAGGCGACGACCACCGCGAGCTTCCTAACGCGCCTGCCCCGGTGGAGCACGCGGCCTCCGTCAGCAGCATCCATCCTCCTGCGGTCCATCAGTGCAGTGAGCGCCCTGCAGCAGCCAGCCGACACTTTTAACGCGAGCAGGCAGGGTTCAAAGGAGGGGAGTGACTGGAAAGAAACTGCTCGTGAGCTACTCTTTAGAGTCTGTCTGTGCGCTCGTGTGTGGGTGGGGGGGCTGCTACGAGCCCGAGCCACATGCACATAAGGTTAAAGGCGCGCGCGACCACCACACACACACACACACACACACACACACACACACACACACACACAGACCGAGAGGGAGCAGCGGGAGTGAAACCAGCGCACCGGGAGCTGATTGGTTGACAGCGTGCTGCTATTGTAGCGATGCGCTGCTGGTACACAGAGTGAGTGAAACCTCCCACGTAATGTCCGCTTCAATCACTGTCATGTTCCCATAAGAATAATAAGGGGGTGTAGGGACTGATCTGAACCCCGAGAGAGACGAGCCACAACTTGTTTCTAGGAAACCAGAGACAGAAGCGGTCATGTGACAAGAAGTTTGAAATATTTCTGTTAAAAGTTTATTCAGTTTAAATAATGAATGAATAAGCCTGAGGTGATTTGGTTCAACAAGGCAGCCAAGTGTAAGTCTCTCAGTCTTTACAGCAGCAAACTGTGAGCAGCCACTTCCACTACATTACAGTTAAGTTTAAGTAAGTTAAACTAACTTTTACTGTTCTTTGTCTCCAGTTGATAGCTGGATACCTGCCTATATAAACAGAGTGTCATCCTTTGTGGTGGTAAATAAAAAAACTACACAAAGAAATAAACACTTCTAACTAAACTGCACATCAGTGCAGGGTATCCTACTAGGGGGGCCCAGGACATAAATGAGCTTGGGCCCCTTATTAACAGCACCCACCTCCTCATTCCCAAAGTATTATTATTATTATTATTTTGAAGAATATAAACATTTTGGGAATTATGAATATCTTTTTTTTGCCGAGTTACCCATGCATCAAAGCTGCAGCGCATCATGTGTACATAACATGCTAATGTGTGAGTGCACCGTATCATTTCAACTGAAATATTACAGATATTATAAGGTATTATAACTAGATATTACAGTTTCATTCTAAAATATTATAAAATGTTTTGATCGTCCACAAGTCATCCGTGTCATTGCTCATTTCCGCTGTATTGTTGCAAAACACCTTTATGTTTTCCCAAGAACTTTGGCTGATTTCCAGAGGGTCCTGGAATTGCAAAATCTAATAGAAGTGACACTGATTTCTTTTCTGCAGACATTATTGCCTCACTTTAAAGAGTGATGTGCTTTTCCTCTTGCAGTGAGCCGAGTCATCATGTCATACTTTATTTCCACAAAGGTGTTGGGACTTCTGCGGTGTCTGTAATATTCAGTGCTGAGTGACTTTATGATACTTAGTGGTACTTTGTCCATCCCAGGTGGTATCTATAGCGTATATAAACCATCCTAGAGGGACATCTAGTGTCTGTGATATGTAGTAATGAGTTAATAATGCTCTTTTGTTTATTTTGTATTATCAGTGGACTTTTTCCACTTCATTAAGGAAAAAGTCACATTACAAATTAAAATGATAAAGGCTGGATGTTGTATAGCATGATGGCAGCTCCAGAGACAAACAGACAAACACACATTAATTAGTGTCAACACAAGATGAAGACCAGCAGTCTATCTCCCTGTATCAGACATATTTAGTATTTGCTCTGACATGAACAAACATGCCTCCACATGATGAAAAATTGTGGTTTTTTCGACAAGTTTCAGTGTTTTGGTACTTGGTCCTAAGTAAAACACCTGCTTAGCCTAAACGAAACAGGTGTCCTACATCACCAGGCTTGTTGGTGTCATAAACACAGAGCCTGGATGTGAGAGCGACACAAAGCAGGCAGCTGAGAGTGAACTTCTGCATGTGGGAAAGGAGGGGGGGCGGGGGGGCACATGGTTTCATAGTGATGTTTCTGTGGGTATAGCAAAACAAGAAAACTAAAGAGTAAGAGTATACACTTAAACCAAGGTTAACAAGCAAGATAAAGTAAATGTCAAGTGATAAGGATAAACTCCTGTGGTGAATGATTGTCTGTAACAGAAGCAAATGGGGAAGTCCATCATCAGAAGTACTGTAACAACACTTAGAACCGTTCACTGCTCACAAATATTCATTCAAGAGTTTTTCGGACAAGCTTTCAATTTCAGCTGACAGACAAACATCAAGAGGAAAAGGATTAGGAAAGTTTGAGTTTGTGGAAGAAAAGTGTTATCTGATTAATCATCAGCAGCCCACACACATCCTTTTACACTGTGCTGTGAACAACAAAAAGTAGCAAATGCTCAACTGCGTTATAAGGTTTGCTCCAACCTACAATTAGATTAAGTTAAAAAAGTTGAAAATCAGGATATCATTCAGACATGTGTCTGTTTACAGTTCAGTTTCAGACAGCTGTTCACAATGGAGAAGCAGAGCTCAAGACAGCTGGAGGTTGCCAAAGTACTCACAGATGTGCAAACCACTACTGAAAACACCTACCCACCTCAATCATCAAAGACTTATGTCAAAAAAAACAAACAACAACAAAAAAAAAACCCCCAACATGGATGTTACTATGTTGTGATGTGCATTAGCACAAACATGTGACAGTGGGACATGCCATCTCTTTGAGACAATCTCAGGTAATGGAAAAAAAGCAGTCTTCAGAATGGCCTTTTGTAATCAGACGTCTGACTAATATGCAGAGAAAAACAGTTCCTGTTGCCTTAAATTTGAGCTAAATTTAGCGCATGAGAGGTGAGTCAAACTTGGAAAAATGAAAACAAAATTTTACAGAAAGTGAGACGAAGAAGAGATGAAAACTAAAACTACTTATTATAAACTGAACGTTACTGAACTATGACCGGTGTTCCAGATATGACCTGTAAAGGCATCGCAGATCCGATCTGACTAAAACAAAAATATGAGCAACTAAAAGCCACTAAAAGTAAGACTAAAGTGAAAGTCCCTTCCAACATGAGGTGCATGAACACTGCACCACATCAAACCAAAGCATTTTTTATAGTAGCAGTGACTGCACCAACGCAGACTTCGTGCTTTTTTAGTGGTAAACACTGGGGAAAAGATGACAGCAAGACAACCACAATTAAATAGATCATAGTTTAATGCTGAACATAAACCCACACACCCAACCTCTGTGTCCCCTCACTTCAAGTCTGTCATGTCAGTAGCTTTCTTATTTACGGCACAATATGGCACTCTTCCATACACACGCGCACGAACGCACGCACGCACACTTAAGTTTATTTAATATTATAATTCACAAATTTATATTCTTTCATTTCATAATTCTATGTCACTACTTACTTAAATATGTACACAATGATGGGGTAGGGCTGAGTTATTTCTCTTTTCCTTACAATCAAAGTTCAGTTTTGATTCAAGGGGAAAAAAAAACGTTCAGTCTTAAAATGGATTTAATTTCCTGTTAATTCAACAGGAATCTACTTCTCAGTTTCGTGGACTTTAAGCTCCAAACTGTCTGAAACAGGACATATTTCAACGAGATGTTGGTGGCTCCTCTCCGGCCCTGTTGAGTATCTACAGCTCTTTCCTCCTTATCTGGACAGCGAGGGAGAACTTGGCACAAGGCAGGAGTATTGTCATAACCAGTAGTAGTACATGGAGGGGTTCTTACAGTCCAATAGTGTACAACAATCCTGAGAAAAAGATTATAGAGTTGAAGGTGGCACCGCTTTGAATCCAGCGATTCCCTTTTTCCAGTCTAAGTGTCAAACAAGGAAAGGACAAGGAGGAAAGAAATATGCAGTCTTTGTTCCACCCTGTCCATCCATTTACTCAGTCTGCATCTCTTTCTTTAACACCAGGGCTCATCTACTTCCTCTTCTCCAGGCTCGGGAAGTAAAGTCCTGGCTGTTCCTGTTCCTCTGTCTACTCCTGTACCCTGTGTCTAGGGATGTGGGAGGTTCATTCGGTCCTCTATTAGAGTGTTGTCGGGACCTTGTGCCTCCATACACTGCTTGACAGTTGCTATGACTCCAGACAGACGCCTGTCCAGAGCTGCGAGGTGTGGCTCAGCCAGGACCGGGTGGATGGGGTCAAATGCCAGCGCCTGCCGCATAGCTGAACTCAGAGCTCCACTTCTCAGCAAGTTTAACCTATTCCATGTGGACACACGAACCCTGTCAAGGAAAAGCAACAGATATTATAGTAAAAAACAATTCTCATAAAAATGTCGAGAACTGAGATTTGATCATTTCCTGAGTACTCACATGCAGCACTGATAGAGTGGTGCGAGGATACTTCGCTCATCCAGAGCTGCGTTTCCAAAGCTGCACACAGAAAAAACAACAACAAATTAAATTACAATTCAAAATTGTAATTGAAGAAGGGGGGCCCTGCGCATGTCAGGGTGGGCTCCGGCCGTGTCATGCTCCAGCGTATCACGCACACACTACACTGCGAAAATTGCGTGGAAAGCACAATGATTGCTATTGCCAGCAGCGCTATGAATATGAATATTAGATGTGATCATGACGAGACTCTTATCAAACATGTGAAGTTTGGTGCAGATTGGATGATGTACACCAAAGTTACGACAACATCCTGTTTAATGGGGAAATGATGATTGTCAACGATACGCCATGGACACGCCGGTTGACGAAACCTCACAAAGCACACAACTTTTCATCATGACTGCACTCACCAAATTTGAAGTCAATCCGTTCAACACTCTAGGAGGAGTTTGTTGCAATACAGTGCGTGGAAATGTTAGAAATGGCGCAAAAATCGGCGACATTACATTCAAACTGTCCGACTTCCTGTTGGGTTAAGCATATGGATTCAAGAAGCTTTTTTTTTTGTACATCTTGACATGACACAAATTCCTACTGATTTTCATACATGCCGGTGGAAGGGGACGTTGGGGACTGTTTCTTTAAAATGTGCAGTTAGCAGAAGCCATCAAAATGCATTAGCCTCACTGGCAGTAGCTCTGAACCTCAGTTGTTACTTTGCATGAGTTGTGATTTGCTGATTTACTTTCAGCTGACAGGCAGTGGCCTGTCTGAAGGAATTTACTGATCACTCAGGCATGACTTACATTAAGCTGGTGTGAGACTGATGATGTTGGTTTTGATAAATTTTCCGTTTATTTTCTAGCACTAATGGCAGTATGATGTGACACTGACAGTTAGGAAATAACTGAACTTGAGGAAAAGGTGAGCAACAATCTGCTGCTTTCAGGCTGAACTTGTAAGTCTTTTCTCAGATAGAAATCCTTGATCTGTGCCAAAACGTCAAGAAAAAAATTTTAATATGAAACTGAAAATGTTAATAGGCTGTTGTTTATTTCATCAAATATATGAACATCATATATATCTCAATTGTGCATACTAAAAAAGGTTATTGGAATATCTTAACCTCATCCTGCCAACTGTGATTAATTCTTGAAAAATGTAAGACGTGAAAATGTTTCCACTGTTGGTTTGATCACCAAAAACAAAATAACTTCAAAGAGGGATTAACAGCTCGATCTCCTCGCTTCATGGAAGTTGATGTTCACCGTGAGTCAGCAGTAAAGGAGTTTCAGTGGCGATAAGTGAGTTCTTGAAAAAGATGCGCATGCTGGAAAATTTCAAAACAAACTGCAACTGAAAACGAAAATGAAAACAAAACATTTTATATGGGTGAAAAATTAAACAAGTACTTCTAGTACAAGTACTAGAATATTATAGTACAAAATATTATAAGTCTGAATGATACCTAGGGATGAGGTACAAAGACGCTGAGTCAGCGGCTAAATGAGCAACACTCTGGAATAAAGGAAAGAAAGATTCAGAGTATCCTGGACAGCTCCAAATGCTACCAGGTCCACAAGGCTACCCTCTCTTTATATAATCAAAATATGCATATTCCTGATTGTTTAATATCAGAGCTGTGAGTGTGAGGGAGCGTGTCCTGACATGTTTGTACAAATACTTAGATGTTTGAGACATGTCTCTATGAACCGTACCGTTTGTATTAAGGAATACAGTAACACTGGATGCAGCTTTGTCAAGCTAACACACAATGTGATGTTATTACATAATGTGTTGTTACAAGGACAAATGAATTGATCTTGCCTGTTGAAATCCTTCAGATTAATCACTCACCTCTTTGCGTTGTCGAGCAGGATGAGCATGCTGGCGCCGCCGTCATCCTGGAAACTCTCATAGTGATGGCGATCCGCGTTCCCAATGAGATAATCAAATATGGCTGTGTCGATGACGTCCAGCAGCCTCGGCCCTGCATCATACGGAGGCATTTTCTTCACCGCCTCACAGTAACTCTCATCGTACTCCCACCTGGAGGATTAAACACACACAAACATCCACTGATATCATCATCATTAGAATCAACATGTCATTTATGTGAGCTGCATTTCAGTATGCCTTTTTTGTATGTGTGTGAGGGAAAGTCCTCTTCCTTGAATACATGTGTAATCTATATCCATACAGGACTTCTGTTAACTTCACTCTACCATTACAACATCATCCCGGCATTCTGCAGAGATGGCCAAGACCCTCGTGATCTAAAGCCAAGCTAATTTCTTAATAAACTTCAAACTCTGTCTGAACAGACCAGGCATTTATTTGTTCAATATAATATCTCACTATTTCTAATTCCTTCAACAATCTGGAATCACCAACGGGATCCCACTACAACACATACTCTGGTTGAGTAAACCTTAAATAATGCTTGTCTGACCTGAACAATCGTCAAAATCTCGAACAATTTTTTTGTTTTTTGGTTTGTTCCAACTGACAGACATGTATTTATGATCGAGTCCAGAGAAAATTTAAGCTTTTGATATTAATATAATCTACTTCAAAAAGTAATGCCTAGTACTAGTAGGCGTATGTTTATTATTCTTCCACTTAATAGTATGTTTATTTGCTTTTACACCTGTATTGTACTCATATCTAATGACAATCACAAAATAATCCGACCTAAAGGCTTCACAGCTCAATATTTCATGCAGTACCCTTTTTGACGGTCGTGAGACTGAAACAATAGAATTTCATCACCAGAAATATACTTTCGTAACATTCAATATCATAAAACACATTATCACCTGTGAAATGTTATCCCTGGCTGTTTGGTTTTTTCATTTCTTTTGTTCGAACATCCATAAGCAGCACAACAGTCCGGCATCTTTAGAGCTGATCTGAATGCGGGAAAACTAATTTGGCACTTGAGATCCCTGCTCCAAGATGGCGGCGGTTTTGACGTATGCTTAGAAGCCCAAGGCAACATCTAGTCAGTATATATATCTATGGTCTGTTTTAACATCGTGTTAGCTCGTTGGCCAAAATGTTCATTAACATCAGTGTATCCTGAATTTCTGCCGCCATGGTATCAGAAATGGGGCAGACGCACACTCACGGGCCTGCCCCCACTGCTAAAAAAAATCCTAGAGGAAACACTGAACATGATGCAATTCATTACTACTAGAGCAACCCTGCTCTGCTAAACATAGTGATAAATATTCCTATATTTGACAGCAACACTTAGGACTTGTCAGCATAGTTTAACCACCGAACTTACCGACAATGAACTACCACTTGCTGAGTACAGCACTATTGTGATGACACAGTACAGTTTCGTTGTGGAACAATACAGCACAGAAACCTGCTCTTTAAGCTCAGTGTAGCTCCTAAATGATATTCAGGAGTAAAAGTAGTTGGAAACGTTTTATTGTTAAGGTCTGTAATTTCCATTAAGTTTCCTGTCTCTCTCTCTCAGCACGCAGGCTGAGAAACTGAAAAAAGTGACGTGTTCTATCTGTCAACCTCCTCTGCTCCATTTCAGTACTATGGACAGCGGCGCACTTAAACACGAACCTCCTAGTTAAGCTTTATCGTTTCACCATTTCACAGCACAAACGCCCACTTGTCTATATAACACGTGTCACTGAACTGAACTCGATGAGTAAGTGACTGAGTAAATGCAATGGAGATCAGACCCTGTAATCCCGTAAGTGGTGCTACGTAACCAATCAGAGCGAGGCATTACATCCTGTTAGCAGGTGAAGTGCATTAGTTAATGAATGGGGATGCTGTGGTCAGAAGAGTTGTTTTTAACATCTATATTCAACGTAAACACTTAAAACTGAATGGTTTCATTCAATAACGTGTTGAATGAAAGCTTTGATCGCAGAACTGGTGAGTGCTGTTCATGCTATCCCTGTTAGTCTAATGCTATGCCTCAGCTCTGTATGGAACCACCTGTTACGGTCTTTTGCCTCATATCGTTATTAGAACTGCTGTTAATCACACAGTGGTGACCTTGTATAATGTGTTGTTATAGCGTTTTATGCTCAATGTGTTAATGGACTGTTAAGCTAACTAACTGTTAAATACGCAGTGTGGGGCAAAGTATACAAAAAGTAGTAGTAATCGACTTTTTGTTTACATTAAAGGGGCAGTATGACTGAAATGTTGTTTGCAATAAACTAAAGTAATGAGTGTATTTATGATTCAAATAATGTACTGCAAATATTTATTGTGTATTATTAGGGACCGAGTACTAACAAGTGCAAGGACCCTATTGTTCCTCTGGGAATTATTATTATACCTCTGGGACTTCGACCGCATATTTGGCCCCCGCAACAGAAAATTTGCACAAAATTCAAACGTAGCTAAAATACCGATATGACATTGTCCCCGTGCACGGGCGCCGCCAAACGTCTAAGCCACGCCCCCCAGAATCAGCCCCCAAGACACGTAAGGCCCACATGTACGAAAATTGCTACGCATGTGTATCATGATAAAAGAAGCAGAAAAGCCTCTTGGACCCATGCCCCAAAACCCACAGGAAGTCTGCAATTTCAATTTTGAATTTTCATCATTTTGTGGTCATTTTGACTTTTTGGGCTTGTATTTGAACAAACTCGTCCTAGGGAATTTATCAGATCTGCTTCAAAACTTGACAGTACTCTTGAATAATGTTGCTGATTAATAGTTGTGCTATTTATGACTGTACGTTGAAGGGCGTGTCCGTGGCGTGCCGTCAAAGTTGGCCATTTTGAACGAATGTCACACTGTGATGTCATTTTTGGCATTTCAGGGCTTCTATTTTAACTAACTCCTCCTACAGGTTCTATTGGATCTACTTCAAAATTGGTCAGTGCAGTCAGTTTTTTTCGTCCAACATTGTGCCCGTGGCGTGGCGTCCCGTGGCATCCAATTTCAAACCTTCGCCATGAAAGAGGGATTCGTCATAACTTCTGCGTACATGATCCGACTGCAACGAAACTTCACATGTTCGATAAGAGTCATGCCCTGAACATGTCTATGTGATAATATTCGGTAATAGTCAGAGCGCCACCTAGTGGTAACAGGAAGTATCACGTTTTATACTTTCATGTTCTACTCCTAGCAGGATGATCAGACCCAGCTGAAATTTACTTATAAAATGTAAAACACATTGTTGATGATATGTGATGACTGCGGTGAGGGGGCGTGTCTGTAGCGTGGCGGGAAATTTTGATGTACCGCTACAAAACATGAATTTGCTATAACTTGAGTGTACATTGTCCAATCGGCTCCAAACTTCACATGTCTGAACACGTCTATGTGATAATATTCAGTAAAAGTGAGAGCGCCACCTAGTGGTGAAAGGAAATGTCATTTTTTATACTTCCACGTTCTACTCCTAGAAGGATGATCAGATCAAGCTGAAATCTAGTCAGAAAATGGAAAACATGTTCTTGATGATATTTCTTGATTGTGGTGAGTTTTTGTTACAGGGCGTGTCCGTCGCGTGGCGTCAAACTTTAATGTACCGCCAGAACACACAAAGTTGCTATAACTTGAGTGTACATTGTCCAATCGGGTCCAAACGTCACATGCCTGATAAGAGTCCCGCCCTGAACACATAGTGATAGCGCCACCTAGTGGCAACAGGAAGTAAGTGCTGCGTGGCGATTTTTAGCTGATTTACGTGAGATTTTCATGTCGTGGTCCGCACGTGTTACGACAGCACGTGACGCGGCCGCAGCACGCCCCGAGTTGCGTGGAGTGCGAGGTCCCGTCCATCGCTGCTTGCAGCTTTAATTATTATTATTATATATAATAATAATATTAATAATATATATATACAATATATATAATATATAATATTATTATATTATTATTGTACTGTCCTTTTCTTAAAAGTATAGAATATATACTTATATCCTATACTTTTACTGGTTGTCAAAACAGATTCAGGCCCTGTCTGCTTATACAGGCCAGGTTTCGGGTAAGGAAGAGATAGATAGATAGATAGATAGATAGATAGATAGATAGATAGATAGATAGATAGATAGATAGATAGATAGATAGATAGATAGATAGATAGATAGATAGATAGATAGATAGATAGATAGATAGATAGATAGATAGATAGATAGATAGATAGATAGATAGAACCGAAGAACCAAGAGTAACTTTCCTTAGTACCAAGTTTGTTCCTGTTACAATCATCACATCCCTGTCAGTGTGGCAGGCTACATGGTCGAGACTCACACTGCTCACACCTCCCCAGTTCACTCCCACAGCCAGCACATTCCCAGTCCCGTCTCTGACTTTGACTACAACTAAACACTGACTACCTTACTTCTTGGCCTGCTTCCTCTGTGCTGGAATCTAAATTGAAAGACACTTGAAGTGCTGTGGATGGGTGCCGATGGTTTCATGTGTTGGGTCCTTAATTGGTTGTTTTGTGTAAATTGTTTTACTCAACTTCATCTGTCTCTTGTTCCCTCAGGGCAGATTTAAATGGTAACTTATAAATAATAGAGAAAAAGAAAGGTATGGAAGATTTAATTGAAACAGAGTGAAACTGAAATATCTGAATGGCCATGATTTGTTATTTATAATTTATTTATAAATTATGTTTATTATTTTCCCCTTTCTCTACAAAATATATGGTACCTGTTTTTTATAACAGCCTCTGGTTTCCTGAGTAATCATGTTAACTATCAGAGTAATCATTCCTCCTAACCCCGTGAAGTCTTCTGATATTCCAGCTTTAGTTGAGCACCTACTTAATATTTACAGTACGTACCGTGAAGATATTCCACATTTAGCTGTGGGGCTTGCAGTAATTATCATTTTATCATATCATCATCAATCATTATTATATTTTTTATAGTGACAAAGGAGGTGACAGATCGAATATTCTGATCCGATTACTGTAAGATAAATAAATTAGGCTAAATTAGGGTGTGTGTAGGTGTTGTATATTTATATCTTGTATTACTCTTACCTACCTTTCATTGCCCTTTTATACTGCATGCAAATAAAGAGTTTGCAATGACTGTGTCTGAACTTGTCTTTTATCATGTGCCAACGGAGACTGAAATAAGTTACTTTCATCTTCACTTTGGACTGACTTCATACCACATTCTGTTCACTGATATTGTGTATTTCACCACACGTATGATTCTGTATCCGGAGCTTATGTTTGTTGAGAGCTGGAAACGGTAACAACTGTTTCTAAGCGCCTCTCCATGCTCATTTTGAGTGTTCATCATGAATGCTAAAAAGAAATAATGCTTTGTTTGTGATTACAGTTTTGATTAGTCCTAGCACCTAGCTATTAGGACTAGGTGCTAGCAGCTGTTAGCTGCTGTGTGACTGCATGTTTTCTCTTGATAAATGATCTCATTATCTTGAGAGAACGGCCTTTAGTTTTCTAAAGTTAAGAAAGATAAATTATCTCGTTAACTAAAGTAACTAAAGGAAACAAGCAATGTTCTTCAAAGATAGCAATCTACTACTACCACTAACTACTGCAGCTTTTATTTGCAGAGATATAACTTTCTTTCACTCTGCTGCCACACCACATTTTGATAGCCATCACTAACCACTCTGGCACTAAATGATAAGATAACATATTCATGTCATACTCAAACCTTCACTAGCACTCCCACCATTTTAAGGTTTTCTCAGAATTAAGGAGTAGGTGGAGTGTCATTACAGAAAATACAGGCCAGTCAGTCTCTTTATAACCAAACTTTAAATACCATCATGGTGAAAGAGCTGACGCTCAGCATCAGCAGAGCGACATTTCCATTTCCGTTTGATACACATCAATAACAATAATGCAGTCAGGTCATGGGATTTTCCATAACTTTAAAAAAAATAAAAGCAATAAAACAACTTTACAGATACTTTTTGGATTCAAGCACCCACCTGGCCAGTTTCCCCTCTCTGTATGTGCGTCCCCAGGGGTGTCTGTGTTTCTGCAAAGGCCAGACATCTGGCAGCCAAAGGGTTAACGATCCCTCCATGATCTCTCCCTCTGCACACGCTGGCTCGCTCTCCCGACAGTAATAACACTTTCCATAGAAACATGTATTATTACCTGGAGAGGGAAAGAAAAGGGTACCAATAAAAAGAAATGAATGTATGATTTTCCCCCATTCTTCCTTGCAAAACTTTGATAGTTCTGCAATATTCTTGGGTCGTCTTGTACGTACAGTTCTTTTAAGATCTACCCGCAGATTTTAACCTGTGCAATGTTTCCTGTGCGACTGCCTGCAACACATCCCCTAAGTACGATAGATCCACCCCAGTGCTTTAAGGCAAGGTGTTCTTTTAATGAAATGCTCCTTTTTTCCCCCCAAACATACCTTAGCTGATTGTAAAGTTCTATTTTAACTTCATCTGCCCACAGGACTTTTTTCTAAAAATGTTGTGTTGCATACTTCTAACACTTGATTTTATGACGTGGACACAAGTACCGTAAAACTTCTAATAATAGCCCAGGCGTTTATTTGCTTAAATCTCTCTTGTGTACCATGTTACCATATAACATTATACTTTGGTGTTGACAGTTTTCGTAAAATATAGTGAAAGATTGAATTGTGGAGAATCTAATTGATCTGCACGATGTGCATTATGTACATACTGACTGAAGTTTAAACATTTATATTTGTGTAGGAGATCAAAACGACTTAAAACTTGCTCAAGCAGGCGACCTGGTGGGTTTTAAGAGGTTTTATACATAGAGACAATTTCTATAAAATCCAGACCAGGCCTATATTGGACCCTGCGTTTATTTGTCAAAACGTGTAGCCACACCAGGCTTTTAAAAGAGACCTGCGTCTATTAGGTACCCTGCTTTTATTGGAAGTTTTACGGTATTTCTTCTTCTTCTTCCATGAAAGTCTTGTTTGGATGAAACACTGCTAAATCCTGCAGGTTTTTTGCAATCACAGGGTTTTGATTTTCCTTTCTGACCAGCATACGAGCAGTTCTAACAGAGTTTTCTGGATCTTCCATATTTCATCTTGACCTCCACAGTTACCCTAAACTCTAAACTCTAATCTCTTAATAACATTTTGCACTGTTGAAACCGCAAGCTGACCACGCTTTGCTATCTTCTAGTAGCCTTCTCTTATATTGGAGGCATCAATGGACATCAATAACTTTCACGTTCAGAGTCTTACACAGCTGCTTAGAAGAACCCATATTGGCTGAGTGTTTGCACGAGGTTTGCACACTCAGTATCTGTAAAGCTCTGAAACTGGCACGAGCTGACGCTTCCTAATCACAACTGTTGACATGCCTCAGGCCTAAGGAGCTAGATTAAAGTCTAAAACCAATCTGAGACTACAGAACTCTTGTTGCACATGCCACAATAATGTTTACATTTTTCTTTAATTTATGACTTAATATTTGATGGAGCACTGATATACAAATGTCTGAATGTTGAACTCTGCATTTTGATCTCAACTACACACCTGTGAAGATTTGTGAAACTACTGCGTTGTACTGTGCTGTCCACAGACAGACAGAAACATAAACACCTGCCAAAATACTCAAAACCGCCTCTGTGGTAGTTCCCGCAACAGTAGGTGTCTCTGGGACCACATGTCACCATGATGACACACACACACACACACACACACACACACACACTATCTGCTCTGCCGTCACGGCTGGTAGTAACAGAGTGAGAGAAGAGTGAAGAGTGTGCTCTGAAAAGATACCAACAGTTACAGAATAATTTTATTGAGGGACAAAAAACTTCTGTCTCCCTTTACCGACCCCAGCAATAGCCGGTTCACCCTGCTGCTGTCTATCCACAGCCATACCAGCAGACTACAGAGCACAGAGCAGTTTCTTTCCTCAGGCTGCAACACTCCTGAACTGATCTGACTTATTTGTGTGATCTTCAGTTCACTCTGCTGAAATCTACAAAATGCTTCCAAGGCTGCTTCATTGGCCGACAGCAGACTGAAGTTACTGCTTTATGGCAGAAAAAAAAAAGAAAAGTAAAAGATCTGCACCATGCCACGGTGAAACGTGTGAATACAGGTATAAAAATAGGAGTTGAGAGGAGTGTCAAATTGAACTATGACGTTTTTTCTTTTAGTACCTTGACCTCAACTTACTTCAATAAATACATTTAAATTAAGCCTGACCCAAGGACATGAGATTTATATGTCTATTATTTGTGCTGTTACGGTTATTGAAAAGGATACTCACTTCTACACAGGCCTGAGAAGATTACTTCAAAATGCGAATCGAAACACTTACTATTTACCAGTTAAAAAATGTAGTCATTTATCTAATACAAAACTGAATTTTAAAGTGTAAATTTTGTGGAGCAGGGGCGATTGAAAAGGCTTGTAACCACTACAGCAGCACAAAGTCAACGTGTAGCCTACATCTTCTCTCTGGCAGAGCAGCACAACAGAGTCAAATCATCATGATTTTTAAAAGTTCTTTCAATGAAAATGAAAATTGTGACACAGAAATGGCTATTCCCACTAACGCAATTGCAAAGTCCGTCAAAATAATCACAATATAATTGTATTACCTTATCGTGCAGTTCTAATATTAAATGATCGTAATTGCATTATAAAATTATTCAATTCTAAAAAATAATGGCAATAAAATATAAACTAATATATTAAAAAAATTCTGCATTGCTAATGCAGCTTTAAAAAGGTTTGGTTCACACACATTAGATAAAATATTTTCACAACTACTGCACTGACAATAACAGGCTGCCAGGTAGTGCCACTGAAAACTGGGGACATTAATGGTCTGATGTCCTGTGATGGGGGACTGGAAAAGGTTGCCTTGTGTAAAAGTTGTGAACAGTAAAAACAAATGTGGTTTTAGTGTGGTAAAATTACATCAGATACTCAAATAAAACCAAAATGTGAATGCATAGTTAGAGTCCTCTGACAGTAGGGGGTCTTTTGTATTATGCAAAATAACCCTTTATTTAATAGTCTGTCAAACCATTTGACACATCTGCGTAACTGCCTATGCTCCCCAGATAGTAGGTGTGATTCTGTCAACCCTCTGTAAACCACAATTGCACAGAAATGAGTCAAATCTTGTTAAACATTGATTGGCGGTAACTTACAGCACATAAAAGACACGAAGGGCCTGAACAGCAGATGAATCAGACGCAAAACACAAAACAATATCTGCAATATGACAAAGAATAAAACCACAATGCTGCACAATTGTGACAACATGGACAACCGAAAATGTGAGGCATCACAGTTGAGAAGTGATCACATGTTGACCTTTACCTTTAACAGTGACTGAAAGACACCAAAAACTGAAATGTTTTTTTATTGTCACATTGTGGTGAAACACTGAATTTACATTTGGCTGGAGATGTTCTCAACACTTCTGTCGGGTCACTCTCGTGCAACTGACGAAGCCAAATCTAAATCCATTCACTACAGTAAATAATAGATTTGTGTTCATGTAGTTAATACTAATTTTCACTAAGTACCAACAACAATGATATGAACTAACTAGGGATGCAACGAACACATTTATTTAATCTAGTAAATCTTTTTTTTTTTTTTAATTAATTCTCTGGTCTACTAAACATCCAAAAATACCCTCCCAAAAAACCATTAAATGCCCTGTTTTGACCCATCAACAGTCCAACTGCCCAAAATATAACATCTGCTATGAGACAAGAAATAGTAGCAGATCCTCACATTAAAGAAGCTGGAACCGTCAAATGTTTTGCTGTTTTTGCTTGAAAAATTCTAAATGATTAATCAAGTATAAATAATATTTGCCAATCTAATACTAACTAATACTGTATAAATACTGCTCGCATTGTAATTTTAAATTCAATTCCATTCAGGCTTGATTGCTTGATTCTTGGTAGCCAGTAACTTTGAGTTTATTAATGCATCATTTAAATTATTTCTTGACAATAGTTTAGCAATTCATCAGTTAAAAACATTAAACACTGTGTAGTAGGGTCGTAACGCTATTTGTATTCGTCCCGAACCGTCACGGTACGGGCGTCACGGTACAGTACACGCAGTCATACGACGAATACGTCAGAGTGAGTTTAAAAAAAGGCGAGTCCTCACTTTAATCCAGGTGGCGGTAATGAGCCTAAAAGTTGCCAGAAACAGTCATTACAGTAGAAGAAGAAGTAGTTACAAAAAAAGACGAAGTAGAAAAGTGATGGAAGGTGTGGAGTTGGAGGAGCCGCCGGCTTCATTTAAATGAGCTGTTTGGGAGCACTTTGGCTTCCCAGTACAATATAATGGTGATGGCATGCGAGTGGTGGACCGGACAATGACTTTCTGCCGGCCATGTTTCACGGAGGTGCGGTATGTTGCTGGCAACACCTCAAACATGCTTACCCACATAAGACGGCATCACCCCAACATATCTGTGACTGGTGCGAGGAAAAAAACGTCTTTGGTGCAACAACTTATCCCCGCTGCTTTTAAGCCCCCTCTTGACATTAACACTGACAGGGCCAAAAACATCACAGAAGCAATTGGTGTATACATAAACGTCTATGCGCCCATATGCCGTTCTTATAATGATGTTACCAAAGTTGCCAGTTGGCAAGAAGTGCTACCTGACTACCTCAGTCTATCTTTTCCTCTGTATCAACAGAATGAGAACCCTCCTAATACATTTGTTTTATATTTTATTCTGTTTATTTTTTATTTTTATACACTGAAAAAAGTGTAACATGCAGTTGTTCATTCAGATAATAACTGCCATTTAAAACAGGATAAAATTATTGATTTGATTGTGAAACTCATTCTTTTTGCATTTAGAGACATCAAGTTTGATTTATACTGAACTAAATATACATCCAAAGGACCCAAAACAAAGTTTTTGATTTCTCTAATTTTTTTTTTTCTCTTCATGACCTGTAGGTAATATTTTTAGTTTGAGTCGAATGTGAATTGCGCATTGCACACTGCACACTGCACAGTCAGAGCACATGTAAAGTCCCGTAGCTCTCTCTCGGCATGCTGGCCAGATGCACCATTTGACATTGTGGATATCGTTATATACCTCCTGGGTGGATTTCGTCCCAAAATAAAAAGGTAAGTAGCAAAG